CTTTCCCTTGGGGTAGAGGCATCCTCTGTGCCGACTGCTCTTGGGAGCAGGTGGTGTGTGTGCGGGACGTATGTGCACACAGAGCACCTGGGTGTCGCAACTTCAGACCAAGGGGGACTTGTCAGCTTGGGTCACTTTCACGTGTTCCCCGCAGACCCGGCCGAGGATCTGTGAGCTCAGGAGCCCGATGAGCTCTCCCAGCAGGGGATGCAAACCGGAGATCAGTTTGGCTGCAGGAGCATGGATCTTTTGAAACTAATTTTCAAAAAATTAGTCTTTCGAAATTAATTTTGGGGACTATCCCGTGTAAGAGTCTGCTTGCACCCTTATGAGGTGGGTCTTCTAAAGCTTCAGGCTTTAGATCTTGTCCTGTCTCCTGCCTTGTCCTTGGCCCGTGATACCGGAGCTGTGGCCACACCGGGTCTGCTACTGCCACCGTTGGAAGGCAGCTCGTGTCGGTCCATGTTGAGTTGGTCTGTAGGTGATAAAGGGGGTGGGATTGGGAAATGGTTGGTGCTCGCAGACCTAATACATTCACCTTTATTCCCTCGAAGTTATTCTTCCCACAAGAAATCTGTCAGACCTTGTTTCCCACTTTCTACAATAACTGCGTTAAACAATGTGTTATCCAAGAGGCTTCAGTGTTTTTACTTTCTGTTAAATGTATTTGTTATGGGAGGAGTTTTTAATTACATGATTGTGCTTGAATATGTTCCTTTATGATAATTTGATTCCTTACTGAGTTTCCACCACTGAGTTACAACCTGAAGACAGCAGGGCTGGAAAGCCGAAGCCCCTCCTCTGTGAAGCTCTCCTGTCCTGCCTCCGCTCCCCACTTGCCCCGCCAGGCCCGCTGAGCAAGCAGGCCCCTCTGCTCACTGTGCCGCCACAGGCGTTGGTAGTTGGTGGGAAAAGGAAATACTGGTCTATCAGCAGATTAAAGCTCTGCAGCCCAAGTGGGACAGCATGGGGCACGTTTTTAGGTGGGGGAGCAGCGGTATGTTCAAACGCATTTTTAGTCTTGATTCAAAAGGATATTAATAGTATTTTATTCTTTTCCTCTTTAGCGTGGAGATACCAAACTCCCCACCGGGTGGCATTTGTTGAAAAATTGACCAAGCTTGTTTTAAGTCAGCTGCCCAACTTCTGGAAACTCTGGATTTCATATGTTAACGGAAGCCTTTTCAGTGAGGTATGTGTACAGATTTGACTATAGTTGTAGCTAAGTCGTGGATTTCTAGTCGTAAAAATTTTAGATTTTGAAGTGACTTTTTTAAGGCCTCAGAAGCCCAAAGCCTCTAAGTATTGTCAGATGTTTTAAGATTAGTAGAAAATGCTGTAAAGCCCTAACACTTAATAGCTGTATGGCCTTGAACAAGTTAACTCATCTCTTCCGGGAGTCACTGCCCTTGATTGTAAGGGAGAATAGTGAGGGTCTCTCTCAGAAGGCAGGGGTGAGTGCTCAGGGAAACAGTGGCTTAAAGAATAAAAGAATCTGAATTGAGTATAATGCCAGTCAGGCCATGTGGTGGATGAAACTGTCGTGCAATTGATGACTAACAGGTGATACAACAAGGATCAAATGTTTGCATCTTGCACATGGGTCTCAAGTTAGAGGGAACTTCTTAGTTGGAAAGAACTTAAAGATCCTGTTTTCTGGCCCCTATGTGATCAGCCTGGAGAAGTTGTTTAAGGCTTTACATTCTCAGAAGTTGCACGTGTACTTAGTGTCCTAATCATGTATAATTGGAGCACATAAATTACGAGCGTAAAGTAATGACTCTTGACTTTTGTGTGTAGCACACAGATTCGGACTCGTCACTCAGTTGTCTCACGTCAAGTGCCCACGACAGGCCTCCAGGTCCCAGAATATAGACTCTGAGGCCCTTTGCCTGGAGCTCTGGTGGCTCAGGAGAAGACAGCTCTGATTTCGTATCTCCGAGGAGACTCTTCACAGCCCTGGGGAAGCTGGGAGAGGCGGGGTCTTCCTGGGGCTAGTGCACTTGCCAGCACAAAACCGCTTTTGCTCTTTTACACCAAGGACACCCCTGCAGTTTGACAGAAGGTGGTGGGTGTCTTGGTTCTCCAGGATCCATCCAGTCTCCTTTGACCATGGATACATGCTCATGCTGCTGTTAAAGAAGTTTGCCACTATCTCTTTTCCTTTTAACATGGTAGATCCCTAGATGTTTGTTTAAATGAAAGGTTAGTTATCTAAACCATAAAATTTGCTTAGTACATGAAAAACAGAAAAACAATGCAAAAACACAGACTCCTTCATGCAGAAAAACCTATCTCTTAAGCATGAGTTATCCCTGTATTTTTTTCTTCCGTTAATTTCAGCAGTGTGTCAGTTACACATTCAAATATTATAGTAATAAATAACATACCTCACAACTCTTTCATGTCCATTTTGTATTACCTGGTTATTATACAAAAGCTCTGCTGAAAAGTTAACTGTATGGAGAAAGTCAGTCTTCCATAAAATATGTGTAGAGTTTGGCTGGCCTTCATTGCTGCCTGAAGAAGAGAGTGCCTTTAGGTGTCCTGAAAAAAGTTTTCTCAGCGTTGTGCTTTCAGACGTGCCCGATCAGCCCGCATTTTTGTTCATGGCAGCTGGATGAGAGTGGCAGCCTCTGTGGTGGGGAAGGTTTGGGTTTCTTGCCTTTTGCTGCAGTGGGGGACAGCCACCCCCTCCTGCCGTGTTGTACCCTCCTCCTCTTACCTGCTCCCTCTAAAGCAGAGCTCTTGTGAGACTGGAAAGGGGAGGTGCTTCCACGCCAGTGCCTGGACAGCTGTGTTCACAGCGTCTCTTGCAGAGTGCCAGGGTTAGAGTAGAACACCCAGTGTGTGTCGCTTACTGGCTGTGACCTTGGGCAGATACCGTTACTTCTCAGCCTACTTCCAGGGGGATGGTTTGGGAATTAGGCGAGTTAATATTAAGTGAAGTGCTTATAACAGTGTCGGGGAGATAAAAAAAGAATTTGCTCTTATTATTTGGAGTAAATATTTATTCCAGTATTTGAAGTGTCATTGGCCTGGCACACAGTAGGTGTTTCATGAACAAAGCTTAGTAGTGGTGAGAAGTGTGGGACTGATGTAGAGCAGACGTGCTGAATGTTGCTGAGGCGGGTTCTCACATGTGAGGGAGCAGAACCCAGGAAACGTCTGGAAACCTAGTTTTGTTTCCAGCCGAGTGTTTTCCTTCCAACTGGAGCGGTGTCTGGAGGTGGCCCCCACGCATGGACAGTAGTTGCCTCATCTTGCATCTTTTTAGGGTTTTTTGATCTGAGATGATTTAGTGAAAAGGGACGGTATTCTCCTTCTCACAGGTTATACCTAGTTGTGTAAACGTCTAAATGAAGTGTTTGGTTGCAGATGAGAAATAAATGAGCTCAGGAGTCACAGCACTGGGAAGTCATTGTGATCAGTTGTGCTGAGTTGGGCGTGCCTGTGGAATTTCCAACAGTTTATACTCATAAACTTTTCTTAAAAGTTTATGGTAATAATTTTTAAGTGTAATTCACTGTACAGATTTGGGGCATGTTTTTAAACTAAGTGACCCTCTGTTGAAAAGCCGGAAAGACACCAGAGGACAGTGGAAGGAATGCAGGAGTTAGGAAAGGGTGCCATCATGTCATGAGTGAGATCCAGAGACTTAATTAAATTAATATTGGGAAGAGTTCCAGGGTTTCAGTCTCATACAAGAAAGCTCTCTAATATTTAAACACAATTTACTTGGAATTTCTTATTTTTTCTTGTTGTAAAACTGTTTTGTTTTATTTCGAGTTCATCTGTTAAAAGATTTAGATGGAGTTTCCAACAGTTTAACAAATAGTTCTTCAGACCAGTCAAGGCCATGTGAAGTAACATATGTGAATCAAAACAGTGCGATCTAGCCGTTGGTCTTACCACAAAGTAGTTTTGGTCTGTGTGTGCAGGAAAGAGTTAAGGTTTTTAGCTAGCAAAATGGTTAATAGTAGGTTAAGATTTTACCTTTAGATATATTTTAAATATAGTGTATTTTGAGGTGAAAACTTTTAAAAGTATCCAAATAATTTTTAAACTTTAGGAATCAGCATTTTAAAAAATTGCATAACTCTTAGTATGTAAATTAAAATGTCCTTTCTGTTCCAAAATTAAATTTTCTTTTAAAAGTAGGGCAAAGTGTACATAATTCAGCATGTTGGAGATGTTCAACTCTTCATCAGATTAAAACAATAAGTGACGATTTTTTTAACAATTGCAAGAGGTATGCCTTACAGGTAGTTCCCTTACCCTCTCCACTTCTTTTGTGTTTGGAGACAGGCCCTCGATGGTTAAATAGTTATTCTGTCCAGTAGGTGTCACCACGCATGCCTTAGCACCTGTTTGGTGGGCAGAATTGTTCTGGCAAAGTTTAACCTAAATTTTGCTATGATGTTTTTTAAACAATTGATTTTCACTCTTTTGATTCAGAAATATTTCACAGAACAAAGAAAGGACTGTGAAATAATCTTCCCATTGAACAAGCCCATTGTATAAAAAATTCAGCATTAGGTACTATGGCAGATAAAACCAGAAAAGGCGCCATCTGACAGGACACTTGCAGGTTTGTATGGGCTTGACCCTTCCCGGGGACAGATGACACCTTCTTCCAGAGGCCCTTCCCATCCGTCCTCCACAGTGAGCCAGGGCTCAGAAAAACAACCAATAGGGTGTTGGATCTGTTTCCAACCGTGTATATAAAGAGAATGAGCTTTACTCTAAGGAGTTGGCTCGCGTGACTGTGGAGGGTATCAAGCCCCAAAGTCCGCAGTCAGCACACTGGAGACCCTGCAGTTCCCAGCTGGAGGCCAGCAAACTCCAGACCCAGAAGCCACCACCGTTTCACCTTGTTCTGCCCAGGCCTTCTGTGGGCACCAAGTAGGCAACCTGAAATTCAAATTTGGACCTCAGAGGAAAGATTTGGGCTGGAGATGTAAATTTGGAACAGTGATCTTGAGATTTATAATAAGAAATACATATTTGATCTTGCTCACCCCTGATATTGTGAATTCCTAAGTGAGGAGTGGTAAAAGATGCCTTTTGTTGTGATAATGAGTGTCTCCCACCTGAGGATGGGGGCTAGTTGTCTGGAGGACCAACCCTGTGTTTAGAGGGTAGGAACTTTCAGTCCCACCCCCAGACCTCTGGGAGAAGGGCTGGAGGGTGAGTTCAGTGACCAGTGGCCAGTGATCTAATCAATTGTGTCTACGTAATGAAGCCTCCATAAAACCCCCAAAGGACACGTGGAGGCTGGGGAGAGTGTCCCACCTGCAGAGGGCAGGGGACTCCACCAGTAGCTGGTCAAACTCTGACATGAGCCCCTCTGGTCACGCCTCACTGCAGCTCTAAAATGCTTCAGTTACTTCTCATTTGTCCTGAAAAGCATCAATTTCTGTGAATCCTGATATACAAAGAATTTTGATGGTGGTTGGCCACTGAAATTTGCTTATTGAATTATTATTGTGAATTTGGGGTTTAGTTTTTTTAAAAACTAAACTTAAATTCTTTTAAAAGCGCATCTCTACAAAGAAAAAAATGGTAAAAGCTGCACGATAAGTGTAAATTAGCTCCGGAAGAGATGTGTGTGTCTGTGTGTGCTGGCTTCTTCTGTCAGGGTGTCTGATACTTTGTTGAAGACGTCAGCCATCCTTATCCTTGTCTTACTCCTTCCCGTCAATGGTGTTGATCCTGTAGACCCGACTCTTCACACTGTTTCTCTAGCTTATACCTTAAATAGAAATAGCGTACCTTGAAGTATTTTAAAATTACCTTGGCGTCAATATAATAATTATTTATAATGCAGTTGTTCCTGAGTAGAAAGTTCTCTAACCAAATACAACAGTATTTTACCTTTAAAGGGTAACTTTTACATTATGATGGTGAAGCATCTGAATTTTCTCTTATGTTTGTACCATATTCTGCGATTCCTTCTTCCTTTGGAAAGTTCCCTGAGTTTGCCCTGCTAGGACATTCTGTATAATAATATCTAGTTGTTAGAAAATTTGGTAATAAAAAGTTAACTGAAATCCAGTGGAACAGATTTTTCTCATTTAATCAGTGTAAAGTGGTCTTGTACACGTTAAGGAGAAAGAGAAATCAGAGGAAAACATGGCTATCAGGAAACAGATAGCAACCAATTCTAGAATACATTCCCTCCTAAATTAGACTGTGAAGCCCCTGGAAGAAGAGCAGTGATGTGCAATTTTTTAAAAATAAAATGCCAGCGTTAATGCTCATATTCACGAAAACTATCGGGAGGAGTGGAGCGGGGTGTCCAAAGGCGTCCAGACACTTGTCCAGAGCTTCTGCTCCTCTCGTTTCTGCACCCACTGCCTGGGAAGTGGTGCTGGAGCAGCATCGTGGACTGAATGCCCGTAGGCTTAACTGTAGAAAACTGTGGATGAAAACAGCATGTGAAATTCACCTACAGAAAGTTTCAGTTTAATACTTAGGTTTATGTATGAGAATTGTACTTAAAGGTTTTAGGAAGATGAATAGCTTCTTGTTGGAATAAGAAGGGTTTTCTAATTAGTCATCCTTTAATCAGAAACTTAGATTACTTCTTATACATTCCTTTTAATCAAGTTATAACTATATTTCATGCTTTCTTTATATACAACTACTAAAGCATTTCTTTTTTTTATAAATTATTTCTAAAGACAACTAATTTTTTTTATTTTTAATTTTTAAGACTGCTGAGAAGTCAGGCCACATTGAAAGATCAAAGAATGTAAGGCAAAGACAAAATGATTTTAAGGTGAGTTAAGGATAGGTATGTAAACTTTTTCTTGGGGTAGGGTTTTCTCAAGCACAGTGACTAGAGACCTTGATGTACATTGAAGACATTTGTCTTGTGCAGGCCGACTCTTCCAGTTGATTTAATCAAGTTGATGCCTTTTAATGTAGTTTTGCTTGTTCATCATTGTCTAGAAAATGATCCAGGAAGTAATGCACTGTCTGGTGAAGCTGCTCCGGGGGGCCCTGCTCCCACTCGGCGTCACGGAGGGCGGAGGGCGGCAGTGCAGAGGCTGGGAAGTGAAGGCCGAGCTCTCTGGGCAGGGGCTCGCTCACGCCATCCAGACCCTGAGGTAAATGTGGGCGCGTTCTCCGGAAAAGGGGGAAACACCACACACTCAGTGTGGGATGTGATTTTTAATACACTCAACACAGAATTTTACTCTCTCCTTTTGTGTCCACTGTTTCCCGTGTGTCACCTGATAACTAAGCTCTTAAACCTTGCTGGTGCTTTTGTCTGATGAGAATGTCACCTTTTTCATTGTTTAGTTCAGTGTCACTGTGATATTATCACTGTGAATGGGCTTACTTTCCCCGTGTTTTCAACATAACGCTGTAGCTTGTAAGCACCATTGTGAATTGTTGTGGGATGGCCAAAATGATGTCGGGAATTGCTTCCAGATCCTGCTCTGCTGACGTTTGTTTTGCTGTGTTTGTTCTACAGGCTTACTTATGAATCCTTGACTGCCCTTGAGATTCCTAATGACCTGTTACAGACGATCCAGGACCTCGTCTTGGACCTTCGAGTGCGTTGCGTGGTGGTCACACTGCAGCACACAGCGGAAGGTATGTTGAGAAAAACCGATGACGTTGGCTAGACAACAGTTATTTGCACATGCCACCTCTTTCCAGCTTCCAAATCCTTAAAAACATGAAAGATGCTCTTATAGAAATCTGAGTATTTCAGACTGTCTTTAGCTGCTCAATATACTTTTTTTCCTTTTTTGAAACTTTTCAAATCTATTTACTTTGAGATGCCAGACCATTTATAAATTAAAATGGGTATACTTGAAAAATGTTTAAGGATATAAGAACATCCTTATGGAAAATGTTAAGTGGAAAAAGTCGAATATAAAATGTGTGTAAAAGTGTGATCCCAATTTTGAAAATATATATATGTATATTTAAAATTTTTAATTTAGAAATGTCAGCATAAAATCAGAAGGAAGACTGTTAACAGTTTCTCTTTGCCACAGAAGTTATAGGTGTTCATTTTCTTTATACTTTTATAGAGTTTTCAGGATTTCTGCATATAGTCATAAACAATGAAGGGTATCTTTACAAAGCAGCCTTTTGGGTTATTAAAAAATTTTCAAAAACAATCAAGAATATTGTTGTGAAAGGCATAAGCCGTTGGTATCTGTCCCAAGGACTTCGTTGTAGGAAGGCTGTGTCTGCACAGAACCGGCCCCTGGCCCAGGTCGGAGCTGAGCCCTCAGGTGTGCACCGGTTGTGTTCTTCCCTCCGTGGGAATCACGTTGTCATCATCGGGAGCATACAGGACTGAGAGAGAGTCCACTTTGGTCATCAGAAATCCTAGGGGGAAATGCCGTGTGTCTTGTATTGTACCTGTTTAATATTATCAGGAGTGCTGAATAACTACTAAGTTGTCGTCTGAAGCTGTCACTGAACCTAGCCCAGCATTCTCCAGATGGGGCTACACAGTAGACAATTTTATTTACATTAATGTTGTATTAGAAAAATCCAGTGAGTGATACACATTTAAATCCTTGAGTCTACCAGAATTATATTCTCTCCCTACTTTCACTGATTTTTTACAAACTTATATAAAACAATTAAAAACCATAACCTTTATGCATTTTTATCTCTCTGAAGTTCAGTGAGATAATTATAATAAGACTCTCTCGTGTACTTGTGTTCCCTGTAGAAGTGAAGAGATTGGCTGAAAAGGAAGACTGGGTTGTCGACAGTGAAGGCCTGACGTCCCTAGTAAGTTTAAATTCTTTTTGGTGATTAATCATTAGTGTCTGTTATATTCAAAATAATTGATTTATTTTGATAATGAGCGTGTGCTCTCTATTGCAACTCTAAAACGTTTCTGGAAATGGAGAAGCAAACCTCTTAAAGTTTTCCTTCTCAGAGTCATTTTTGCTTAACACTAACCACAGGTATTTAAAAATGAGTAAAAATAGTGGATCCCCCTTTAGAGTGATCTTTCTTCACCCTGTGACTCTTAACTATTTTTTGTTGTGTTACATTTTTTAATGTAATTCTAAGTTACCCCGCAATTTGAATTTTTCAGAAAAGCAGGATAGGAAGCCAGTGCTGTTGCTGGGCCCTAAGGCAAAACAGGCAACAGCGAACTTCTCCAGACGCATGCAGGGGTCAGGTGGGCAGTTAAAACCATGGTCTGTTCACTCTGGAGTAATCATCTTTTCAGACGGGCCTTTGAGATTTTCAGAATCCCCTTGAAAATAGTGTTAGTGTTAGAGTTCGTGAGTTCTCGTGTTTTCGAGTCTGTCCCATGGATCCCACAGCAACTTGTATGTGGGTGTCAGGCAAGCTTAAAACATTCAGTGGCTTAAACAAGAGGGCATTTCCTTTTTCTCCCCCACTAAAGAGGTTGGGACTGGTGTGGCAGCTTTGTCATGCAGTACGGGCAGTGTCCAGGGCTCCTCCGACTCCTGCTTTGTGACCCTTAGTGTGGCTCCTCTCTCAGGATGGCCTCATGACACGGGATGGCCACTGCAGTTCCAGCCACCACAGCCTTATTCCTGTCAGCAGGGAAGTCCAGCATTTTCCCAGGAGCCACAACTGACAACTCTGCTTACATCTAATTGGCCGTAATTTATCCATGTGCCTACCCCTGTCTGCAACGGAGGCTGGAAAAAAATGTAGTTTTTCAGCAGAGCACAATCCTGGCCCCAACAGTTTCTGCCTTACCTTAGTAGACAGGTACAGTGGAATAAAACGGTTTGACTTGCCCACATTTACAAAGTAGTGGGGCTCAGGTTGTTGAGGAGCAACCACCCCCTGTAACATTTCTTCATGTCCTTGAATTTGTGTGCTTGTCCACAGCCTTCCTCTGACAGTTGGGGAATTTTTTTTTGAATTTTATTTATTTTTTTATACAGCAGGTTCTTATTAGTTATCCATTTTATACATATTAGTGTATATATGTCAGTCCCAATCTCAGTTGGGGAATTTTTGACAAGTTGAAATTCTTCTTTTCCTCCAGAGTTCAAAGTTCTTTCTTAAGTTAATACAAAGCTATACAAGTGTGTGTTTGGAACAGCAGTGCTTACTTCCAAAGTTTGGTAAATTAAATCATGCTTGAAATTAGGGGAACTTATTTTTAATAAGTCTTATAATTATATATGTATATTGTTAAATCTTATTATTATTTTTGGCTGCGTTGGGTCTTCAGTGCTGCACATGGGCTTTCTCTAGTGGCGAGCAGGAGCTGCTCTTCATTGTGGTGCGAATACTTCTCATTGCGGTGGCTTCTCTTGCTGCAGAGCACGGGCTCTAGGGGCGTGGGCTTCACTAGTTGCAGCACGTGGGCTCAGTAGTTGTGGCTCACAGGCTCTAGAGTGCAAGCTCAGTAGTTGGTGGCACACGGGCTTAGTTGCTCCGCAGCATGTGGGATCTTCCCGGACCAGGGCTCGAACCCATGTCCTCTGCATTGGCAGTCGGATTCTTAACCACTGCACCACCAGGGAGGTCCCTGTAATTATATTTTAAAGGATTTAATTTTAATAAAAATTTGTTTTGATTTATTTGGTTTATTTTTCAGAACTATTTATGTTTAAATACAAACTATCCTATAACTAAATATTGGGTTGGCCAGAAGGTCCGTGCGGTTTTTTCCGTAAGATGCTCTAGTAGCACTTAGTTGTGTTTAACTTCATTTGAAACAATTTTGTTAGATCGTATGTGAAACCTGTCATATCAGCGTGCATTTAAAAAAAAGACTTACCTAAATCGGTGAATTTTTGTGTAGCCATTTTAATATTGAAGATGGAAGAAGAAAAGCAACATTTTCGGCATATTATGCTTTATTATTTCAAGAAAGATAAAAACACAACCAAAATGCAAAAAAAAGATTTGTGCAGTGTATGGAGAAGGTGCTGTGACTGATAGAACATGTCTAAAGTGGTTTGCGAAGTTTCGTGCTGGAGATTTGTCGCTGGACAGTGCTCCACAGTTGGGTAGACCAGTTGAAGTTGATAGTGATCAAATCGAGACATTAATTGAGAACAATCAGTGTTATACCACGCAGGAGATAGCCGACATACTCAAAATATCCAAATCAAGTGTTGGAAAATCATTTGCACCAGCTTGGTTATGTGGATTTTACTTTGATGTCTGGGTTCCACATAAGTTAAGCGAAAAAAAACCTTCTTGACCGTATTTCCGCATGCGAGTCTCTACTTAAACGTAATGAAAACGTTCAGTTTTTAAAGCAAATTGTGACAGGCAATGAAAAGTGGATACTGTACAATAATGTGGAACGGAAGAAATCATGGAGCAAGTGAAATGAAGCACCACCTACCACACCAAAGGCCGGTCTTCATCCAAAGAAGGTAATGTGTGTGTGGTGGGATTGGAAGGGAGTCCTCTATTATGAGCTCCTTCCGGGAAACGAAGCGATTAATTCCAACAAGTACTGCTCCCGGTTAGACCAACTGGAAGCAGCACTCCATGAAAAGCATCCAGAATTAGTCAACAGAAAACGCATAATCTTCTATCAGGATAACACAAGACCGCATGTTTCTTTGATGACCAGGCAAAAACTATTACAGCTCGGCTGGGAAGTTCTGATTCATCTGCCATATTCACCAGACATTGCACTTTCAGATTTTCATTTATCGGTCTTTACATAATTCTCTTAATGGAAAAAATTTCAATTCCCTGGAAGACTGTGAAAGGCACCTGGAACAGTTCTTTGCTCAAAAAGATAAAAAGTTTTGGGAAGATGGAATTATGAAGTTGCCTGAAAATGGCAGAAGGTAGTGGAACAAAAGGGTGAATACATGGTTAAGTAAAGTTCTTGGTGAAAATGATTTTTACTTAAAAATCAAAGGCACTTTTTACTTAAAAATCAAAGGCACTTTTTGGCCCACCCAATATTTAGAGGAAGGAGGTGTGGAGCAGACGGTACCATTCAGCACAGCAGCCACTTGGCACAGCTTCAGACTCCAAAGAAAGAAGCAAGTACAGAAAGAAAGAAGATCTCAACTTTCTGTATTGACTACATGTTGAAATAATTTTTGATATATTACACGTTATAAACTAAAATTTAGGTTTTTCTTTTACTTTTCTTATTGTGGTTCCTGGAAAATCTAAGATTACGTACATGACGTGTGTTTGGGGCTCACACTGCACTTGTGTTGGGCGGCGCTGGTGTGGAGGGAAGGCCCTGTGCTGCTTCAGTGTCTGGTCTGGTTACGTCCTCAGTTCTGTCTCAGTAGCCGTGCCATCTTCAGAAGCCACTTAACCTCTCTGCCTCTAGTTAAAGAAGCAGAATGCTTGTTCACAGTGGTGTTGGTTACGATTAAATGAGATGCTGTAGAAAAAAGCTGTAATACAAAGCTTTATACACATACAGAGAATTTTAATTTATTAAACTAATACTTGTAATACTGGGACCACTATGATAAAAATACCTTAAATGTACATAAAGCCTTACTATTATCAAAGCTCTATCCTATGCGCCTGTCATCCCTAATTATCACAGCAGGCCTGGATGGCAGGCCAGAGACATTGCTGGACCAGCACCGCTGAATTACTGCCCCAAATGAAACAAGCCAGGCAGAGCAGACAGCACAGCCCTGACCCTGGGTTCTTAGTACCAGCTTCAGATCATCTTGTGCAAAGAAAAAGATGTGTGTTCAATTTGAGAAAACGGAGGATCTGTTTTCAAGGATTTATGTTCATTTAAAAAAAAAAAAAAAAGACAAAATATGAACAACTTAGTCATAAAATAGGTATTGGCTTCAGGTTAGTGTTTTTTGTACACACAGTCTAGCATGCGCATGTGATGGCTGCAAATCTGGGTCCCCGGTGTGTGCGCGCGTGAGATAACAGCCACATCTAAGGTTGGTTGTTTGTTTGTAGTAGATAAGCCCCCATGAAAGTCCTTCGAAGTGGTTACCGTAGAGACTTGTTTCTAATAAATTTAAAGTTTATAACATGGTAAGAAACTGTATCCATAGCATAGCTAGTCTCGTGTTTGGTGACACACAAGCCAGCGATCTAAAGCCACTTACTGGTGATTTGGTGCCAGCCAGTGTGTCTTATTGGACGTTGTTGAAGAAATGTGCTAATAATCCCATAGGCCTCTGGGAGCTGAGCCTGCTGTCAGCTGTGGGCACAGACTTCCCGTGAGAGGGAAGGTACATCCAGGCTTAGAGCAATGTCCAGGGTCCAGCTTTGAGTGTTTACCTAACATCTGAAATTCTCAGGTTTTGAACAGAGAGTCAGTTGTCTCAAAGGCTATTACATACACCACTTTACATTTTCTTAGCATTTCCATAGTACTGATCCCATTTGTTTGGAATAAGGATGTTTTCCTTTCCCTGTGAGTCCTTATCAAGTTAAAGAAATGCACATGAGCTTTGCCCCCATGACTGTGCTTTCAGCTGAGTGTCTGAAGCAGCTCCTTGGAGAGCATCCTGTTTTCTACTCTTGTTGAAAATGTTTTCTGCCTTTTTTCAGTTTGGATAATTCTGAGAATTTTCTCCTTTCAGAATAACTGGAATGATATGTGATGTTATAATCAGCCAGCTTGGGTGATTCACTGACAAAATGCAGAGATAGATAGTGTCTGTTCTTTCTTTTCAGAAAACAGAAATTGCAGCTGTGTAGACTCATGTGCTCCCTTTCCCACTGGCAGTGCTCTCTGGGCTCTCTGTTCACATTCTAAGGCAAGACAGTTAGGAAACGGCACAGGAACACTGAACTGCCTGCCATTGGGTTTGGGGTTGAATTCCCAGTGTTATTACTGTAACATCTTAGATTTTCCTACCTTCTGGGGGAGGTAGGTGGGTTCGTAAGGCCGGTGTCTACCAGGACTTTACTTTCTGTAGGCGGTATTTTCTGTCACATCCATCCCTGCCCCTGCCCCCGCCCCCGCCCCCGCCCCCGCCCCCAGCCTTCTTTCTCTGCACTTAAAGACTTTTGCATGTTCTTTATGGTGCCGTCTGGTGGCTCCAAAGTGCAGTATTAAAATGACATTAAGTTGAGGTGCTATTAGTTTTCCTTAAGCCTGGATTCCTTTTTGTGAGAGAGTAGACTTGTCTTTCTTTGGTTTGTATACAGGCGTGTCTTTTTTCTGTTCGATTTTTCCCTGAGTTTTTTTAGTAATTGGAGCAGATTTTGCCCAGAGCTGGTTCAGCTGAACTGAGCCTTGCCCTGCCCCGTGCAGGCTCTACCAGGCTCTGGCCCGTGGTGGTGACTCGGCGCCTCCAGGCCCCTCCTGTCTCTGTCCGGGGGCGGCCCTTCTTGCCCTTGGTCTCAGCTTGGATGTTATCACTGGCTCAGGGGCTTCTCCTGCTTCGGGAAGAAGCCCTGCATCAGTTTTCCTCTGAGTGCCCGCTCGTGCTCTTCATGGCACTTACCCTACTTTGCAGTCCACTTATTTTATTTCTGTACTTTTTTTTTTGTAGAAGTGACAGTTCTGCCAACTCCATCCCAGAATGTACACGTAACGAGAACACGTGTCACCATCCCCTGGAGTGGGCCTGGCACGAGGAGGTGTAGTTAGGGCTCATTCAGACTCATCCTGAAGCCCATTTGTTGGACATATTTTCAGGTTTCATTTCTGACTTGATGGGCGTAGAAGGTGACCGTAGAGAAGGTTTGGAATGAAAAGTGTCGGCCTTCCTCTGGGTCATCGTACTAACGTCCCCTGGGAGATGAGGAAGGCCCGGGAGATGGAGCTCGTCCCAGAGTATGTTACGTCTGTGCTTCATCCCGGCATCTGCCTCTCAGGAGAGTAGAATTTTGAAGAAAAATTCTCATTCTACCCAACTTCTATTCTAATTGAATTAGATGTGCTTCCAACTGTCAGGGTTCATGGTCTTTAAATATCAAGTGCAGAACATGCCAGGTCTAGGTCCGGGTGGCAGGGTGGCTGTGTGTGTCTCCATCCCTTTCTGCACATCTGGAAATCTGGGCATCAGGGCCGAGTTTGCTTCTGCTCGGGGTCTGCATGCCCAGGTCCTGTTGCTTTTGTCTTCTGCAGCCATGCCACTTTGAGCGCTGCGTGGTGCACTCTCTGCAGTCGCTGCGAGAAGTCCTGGAGTGCAAGCCCGGAGAAGCCAGCGTGAGTGTCTGAGAGCAGCCGTCTGTGGTGGGGGCCGGGCAGCCAGGGGCTCCCCTTGCAGGTTTGGGTCATTGCGATGCCAGAGCTGCCGCCCTGTCACTCAGGCCACAGTCACTCGGCCCGAGGCCAGCTCTCCATTCCTGTCCCCTTTCAGAGTCAGGTGACCCACACTGGACACACTTTCCCACGTGTTAACTTCTTATATCGAACTTCATAAACAAAAAGTTTTCTTAGCCAAGTACAACAATTCTCATTCTTCCTTCCAGGTCTTTCAACAACCGAAAACCCAGGAAGAGGTTTGCCAACTAAGCATCAACATCATGCAGGTACTTTGCAAAAGCGCTGATGCCCTGAAGCCTGAAATAATGCGAATTATTAGTCTTCCCTCCTACTCATAATCAGTGTATAGCAGATACTAAATATGTATTCTTGTTTCCTTTTTGTCTGAGAACATAATAGTTTATGGTAAATAAGTTCAAGGTAAGATTAGCTCCACCTTGCTTAGCAGTACCCCAATAACTCATTTTTATTATGCTCCCCTTTTTTGTGTTTTCACAGTACTTTGTGTGTATATATCTGTTAGAGCACAGATTAAATGACATGACAGTTGTTTACATTGTACCTAGAGCACCAAGTTCTTTGGGACCAGTGCCTTGTGGGCACATAAACCCAGTTGAACGCATGAGTGAATGAGTGAGAGGAAGGAAATAAAATACATTCAAGAACTTAACAATGGGATCAGAACATAGGTGCTTTAAATTTTTTTATCACTTAGCATTACACCTTGGGATGTGTGTTCCCAGTGCTTACATACTTTTATGTGTATGTGAATATATACTCTATATATGGGACATACAGTCTATCCACTTACAGAAGGTATATATGCATACATACCACTTAATAGAGATACACTGTATTTCTGGTTATTTATGTAAAATTATCTTTAATGTCCAAATAGATTAGTATCTAAGCGTTCATACCACTGAAACGTCTTATTTTTGACTTAGGTTTTTATATACTGTCTGGAACAGTTGAGCACCAAGCCTGATGCCGATGTAGATACTGCACAGTAAGTAGAGCTGAGAGTAGCCTCACCGATGCGTTTACCAGGATTGAAAATACAGGCTCTTGTTCTGTATTTGGTCTTATACCCTGGGACTTCCAATAAAAGAGAGCAAGTAGTCATATGAATTATATTTTTATATATTTGGCCTGTATTCTTTCCACAATTTCTTCATCTTCTGAACTTGTCTCACCTTTACTAGAGGCACATTGAACAAACTGAGCACACGATTAGCTTTACTGATTATCCAGAGGAACAGGGTTTATAATAACAAAATAGGGAGTTAAAATGTGTGACTCCTCGTTGATAGCTGTTGTGGTTCTGGTGCAGGGGGTTGCCCTGGCACTCCTGTTAAAGGGACACTGTCTGGGCCCTTCTTGGTTAGTTGAACTCCAGAGGACACATCTCGATTCCTGATATTTCCAAATCCATGTGATAATTCTTTTATAATGCTGCTCTCTGGGATTTTTTTTAAACCTAGTTTTTCTGACTGTTTGGCATGTGTAACTTCTGTGTACCTAAGGTTTAGGCCCTCTGACACAGATGATACTGAAATAAATGCCTCTTAAATCTATAACTGACAACTGGAATTTTTTCCATGTTTGTCTGTTTCCATGTTTACATGGTTTTTGCCTCTCAGTAGATAAGACACTTATCTCTCTGAGACCTAATAAATATTTAGTTGTTCTAGTTTTTCTTTGATTTTTATATGTTTATTAGCACATTAATTTACCAGGAATTTGTATTGTTAATCAGTTTCCTGATGTTTTGGATTAAATAAGTCTTGTCTTCTTGTTTTGTTACAATTCCTGTGCCTTACATCATTGAATTCTAATATGTAGTGAAGGTATTTCTGAACTTTATCTTCGGTTCTATTCATTCACAAATGTTTCCTATCAGTGTTTGTTGTTTTAGTTATCAGTAGTTTTGTTTTTTTGTTTTTGTTTCTTTTGAGAGGGCCTCTCACCACCACTGTGGCCTCTCCCGTTGCGGAGCAGGGCTTTGGACAGCGGAGCAGGGCTCTGGACAGCGGCCATGGCTCATGGGCCTAGCCGCTCCACGGCATGTGGGATCTTCCCGGACCGGGGCACGGACCCGCGTCCCCTGCATTGGCAGGCGGACTCTCAACCACTGCGCCACCAGGGCCCAGGAGTTGTTTTTTTTTAATGTTTTCCGGATTGTTATCCTTTTATTGCTTCTTTATTTTAAACTTATTTTATATTTTTATCTATTTAGTCTTCCATATGAATTCTAAAATCAGTTGGCTAGATTTAAAGAAAAGGAATCCTGCTAAGGTGTTACTTGTGGTTCTGCTGTATCTGTAAATTAATCAGTGGGTCTTTGGTGTTTCCTCCCCTGCAGCTTTCTGTGTCTGGTCACTTGTTTGGAAATTAACTAATTTCCTAACTCAGCTCACCTCAAGTCATTTACTATGAACGTGAGCTTGAAAAAATCCCCTCTAGATTCTGATGGGCAAAAGCATTTCAGTTATGAGAGTCTATACCTAGAAATTAAATTATTGGGAAGACCCCAAAAGCACATTTTATGTGGCCCATGTTAATAGATAGTCCACAATGTCTACTTTGAGCTGTTAGGTGTTAAATATTAAAAAACAGAAAGTTATATGATTTTTGACCAAGAGGTTTTAAAGTCAAATTTACATAGGTTTCATTGCATTTTTTACTGAGGCATAATTGACATATAACATTATGTTACCATTTTTAATTTTAGTGCTTTAACTTGTTCTCTTACTTCTCTATTCAGTCTCTCTGTTGATGTTTCTTCTCCTGATTTGTTTGGAAGTATCCATGAAGACTTTAGTTTGACTTCTGTAAGTAAGATCATAAATAATTAAGATGATAAATAGAAAGTAAAATGTCATTTGTTATAAAACATGTCATTATGACTGTTTCATAACTCAGTCTAAATGATTAATACTTTGTTACCACATTACTGCTGTAGCGTGCTACTCTTACTTTGGAGCTGTGTTTTATTTTGTGAAAGTTTTAGTAAAAATATAATCTTGTAAATATTCCACACTTAAAAACCTTTTAGCTGAAGTTGCAGCTTAAGTAGCTCCGTCTCGTCTCTGCATTGTGTGGAGATCCTGAGTGTGGTACCCTGGTGCTTAAAAGCTGGAGAGGAGGCAAAGGACAGGCACCGTTTCTCCCCGTTTTCCCTCTTTAAACAGAGAAGCTCTGTTTTCCTCTATTTTTTGTTGTTGTTGTTGTTGTTGTTAAGTTCCCTAATAGCATTTTATTTGAACACAAAATTACATGGCAAAACCAAAACCAAATCACCTTTTCTATAAACACACATATATTTTAAACATATGCATGTGTTTAGCAATGATTCACACATACACTTTATCCTGTGTGTAAATTTAGCTGTAAATTCAGACTCCAGCTATCCTAAAAAACAAAAAAACCAAAAAACCAACCCTGTCTGGTTTGTCGTTAGCTTGAATGATGTGTGTGTATGTGTATGTACCTGTCAAGAAAGAAAACATGTGAACTAAATTTCCTGCCATATATAATTTCTACAGTTATTATAAGTATGAATTCATAAATAAGGATTTGTTATATTAGGAAAAATAGAGTTTAATCAAAGTAATTTTTTTTTAAAAAGCTATTAATTAAAGTAGGTTTAATTACTTGGGTGACTAGGTAGATAACAGTACTGTTCATGAAGAGAATTCAGGAAGGAAATAGTTTCTAAAGAAAGATTAAAAATTCAGTTTGGGACCAGATGTGTTGAATGAGAGATGTTCAGGTGGGATGTCTAGTGGGTGATTGGACCCCAGGAGAGAGATCTAGGTACAGATTTGTGAGTCAGCAGTGTAAGGCCTGGGAGTAGATGAGAATACTGGAGAACACAGTAGGAGGGGAGGAGGCCAAGTATATACAAATAATACTGAGGGTGCCAGTGTTTAAGGAAATTTAAGGGAGGCAGAGAGCCTGGAAGTTCCCTGAGAAGGGAGAATCAGAGAAGGAAATCCAGGGACAGGTGGAAGAGCGCATTTAAGCAAAGGAATATTTAACGGTATCGCAGACTGACAGAGCATCAGGCCGGGTCGGACAGAAGCCAGGCCTCGTGGGAGGGCGTGTGGATGGCCGAGGGGCAGCTAGCTGCCTGCGCTGGGTCAGGGATGAGTGGCAGCTGAGGAGGACGATGTGGTGAGTTCAAACCGTTCTCCCGCTGTGAATGGGAGAGAAGGACATGCGAGGAAGGATCCTTCTCAGTGGAGAAAGGCCTTGCTGCCTGTCTGGCCAACCACGTTTCTTCTGGGTCTTTTGGGACAAGCCTAATTTCTACGTGACTATCTTCCCAGTGTTTGGAGCAGCTGCCGTGTGCTCACATGTTCCCTTCTTGAGCTAACACGGCTTGCTCTGAGCCTAGGACTCCCCCAGAACCACGCCTTCGCCTCCTCTCCTCTGTCACCCAGAGCCCTGCATGCTTCGCACTTGCTTCTGCTGGTCACTGGACCTTCTCTGTCCCATTTCACTCTCCTGAAATTGTTCCAGATTTGGTACCAAATTCAGTACCTCTGTTTTTCCCCATTGGATGATACCGTGTTAGATTTGGTCCAGGTAATTGAGATCTTCTTAGGGTCTTGTCCTGTTATCCAGCAGAGAGGCACCTGTGGGAAGAAAGAGGGCTAGGTTTCTGGTTCGCTTGCTGGTCTGCTGCTTACTGACAGAAGAACCTCGGGCATGCCACGGAGGGTGGCCTGATGGCCGCATCACAGGGATGCTGTGGGGTAGCCAGAACAGTACACGAGGCCGCGCAGTCCTCAGTCTGCAGGTGCTGCCGTGGATAGGTTGAGTTGTTATTTTCAAACATGTGTATTCATCTGAGTTGTTTGTCAGCTTTTGATGAGTCATACAATTTTAAGAATTTGATTATTTGTCAGGTTTTCTTCCCACTTTTGTTTCCTGTGATTGGTTATATTTGAGGAAAAAATACACTTACTAAGAGTAAGACTTCAAATCACTCAAATAGTTTTTCCATTCTGGGGGAAGAACCATTCTGATTACAAGGGTAAAAATCAACCAGAGTTAATTAATGAAGAGGGCAGAGAAGGTGTGGCAGGCTGGGATGGGCTGCTGGGAGGTGGTGCCTGGAGGGTAATTAAGGATTGATCGTGGGGCTGAGAGACCAGTTGAGATATTTCGGATGCCGCTGCTCAGAGTGGCTGATGAAGCGTCACGGTGACTTTATGTCACACGCTTTACAAGGGCCACATAACAGTGACAGTTAGGTGTGGGCAGGGGTCTGGGCCTCCCCCAGCCTCACGTGTCACCTCCTGGTGCCCACCTCAATGCGGTTTGAACATAGAACGTGGACGAGGAGTAGACGCACAGCGCATTTGTTTTAGGCTTGTTTTTGCCGCCACTTCCTGTCCATGGCGTCATTCAGGCCACTGACAAACTTTCATTGCTTTGAAAGCACTGTAATAATTCCTGGGCCTTTTAATTATATTTGTTGAATACCACAAAAGGCAGCAAATCGGCCACACTCTGCCAGAACTAAACAGTAAAATTTTAAATAAAGACATGGAAAGTTTTACACATTTTGAGGGAGCTGAATGGAATTCTTGGGTGATCCAGGCTCAGTGAGCCTAGCCTTGTGGTCTGTGCACCTGCCAGGGCCTGGTAATTCCCATCTGCCTTCCTGACATTAACCTCAGCTACCCTGATTAGTACACAGCAGCGATCAAAGTATGGGTAAGAGCTTCTCCTAGGAAGGAGTTCTGCCTTAGTTTTTAGTCAAGGATCTAAACCAAGGCCCTAAGTTAGTCACAGTCGTTCCAGAGAAGCCCTCACACCTGAGGGAGCAGGGACAGTGCTCAGACAGCCCCAAGAACAGTGACAGTGCCATTCCTAGAACTGTATTTAGAAGGCCAGTTCTTCTGAACTCTGAGAGGGTGATTGATTCATCAGCCTGGGGGGTCTGGTAGTTTTGATAAGAAGTCACCTTAAATAGTGGGAAGCCTGGGCATGTAGACCGGCGCCCTGCGTGGCTGACCGGGGGAGAGTCCCCATAAGAGGGAGACTCTTCTACGTAAGGAGTTCTGTGAAGGCCTGGGTTTTTGAAGGAGCCGTCTGTGGATGGCATTGCAATTCTCTTCCAAGTTATAAGAAATTTAGAAATTATTTTCTGAGAGTTTCTACATTTTGGGGTAGTTATTTTTAAATATCCATTTTTATAGCTTTTTTGGGGTGCAAAACGTATGAAGTGGAGTAACCGATAAAGTAGAATCCCTTTCCTAAGAACAGCAGCTATCCTGTTTTACTAGTTTACTGTGTTGCATCAATCTGTTTTTCCATACAGCTGTTAAATTTCAAAAGGAATTTGAGTCAAACATTATTTGGCTCTATAGTGCGTTATGTCATAGTGAGCAAGTAGTAGAATTATAGAATTGTGTTGTGTTTCTCCCTGTTACTGGAAAGAAGGAGCCAAGAAAAACAAAGCATTGAATATTGATATTAAACACCAAGAGATTATAATTAAATTTAACAAGTGATAAATGTTATCTGTTAGACTTTCAATTTGTTACTATAAATATTTTTCTAAAATTTGTTTTGGTTTTTAGGAACAGAGACTTTTAATAGTCCTGAGTAATTGCTGCTACCTAGAACGTCACACCTTCCGAAATATCGCAGAACATTTTGAAAAGCACAACTTCCAGGGAATAGAAAAAATAACACAGGTAAATGGATCGCGTTAAACGGACAAGTGGTGGTGTCATCCGCTTCATTCCCAGCTGTTTCCTCAGCCCCCGACCCCAGCTCCTCCCCGCGCCCGGTCCCTCCTTCTCACAGCTCACCGGAGTCACTGAGGTGTAATGCTCTCTTTCTCTAGAGCAAAGCCCTCTCGAGGTTAGAGCTTTTCAAAACTGAGGGAGGAAAAAGAAAGAAAGGCTTCAAACCCAGATCTTTAGGAGTCATCTCTGATTTGGCTTCTTTTAGGTAAAGCTTTTACTTCTAGCCGACAGCAAACCCTGAGCTTGCAGAGCCGCCTCTTCTTCCGCCCTCCCGCTCCAGGGGGCCACAGCAGTGCTTCTGCTTGCCTGCCACAGCGCACGCACACATGCGTGCGTGCACACACACTCGTGCACGCGGGCACAGCTCTAGGTTGCTTTGTCTCTCCAGTCCTGCCTGTAGAAAGGTGGACAAAAATGAGCCCTGTATAAATCAATGGAGTAGTTTTTTTTTTAGTGTTAACACTTTGTTGATTCTATTTTTCAAGTAAGCAGAAAAGGAAAAAATGAAGTAATCATGTTATTATTAAAGGTTGCTTGGTTCCTGGACAAAGGTTTATCAGATTTCTAAGTAAAACTAAGCTAGAACCACTTTTCTAATGTCAGTACAGTTTTCTCAGTGCAAAGAATAAGAAAGATAGTGATCTTGTTAATCTTATAATCAAAAAGTGCTCTTGATGGATTGCATACTTTTTACAAATGATGGTTCCAGTTCATGAACTACATTGGGATTTTTTTTTCAAAGATTGAAAATGTCAGAGTGGGTGGCTGTGTCTTGTTTTCTTGCCTTTTCGTAAAGATTAATCATCCTGATGAGAAATGTTGTGACTTAAGACTTTAGGGCCAAATGTCGAGTTTATTTCCAGAAATTTTTGTGTTGAGAACTGTAAGGTGCTCTCCTGCGGTAGAAAGTTAGTATTTGTAGAAAGTGGGCGTTTTATTTTTATGAAGTAATAATAATGACACTAACATTATTAATGAAGAAATCTTCCATCATTTTAAAAATATATGAAGTGATTAGGAACTGCATATAACAAGCAGGGAGAGTTTTAGGTTTTCACAAAGTTACGAGTGGGAAGAGTATCTGCTGTAGGTTCAGTTTGTATCGTTAGAAGAAGGATGGAATTGACATGCAGTTGGGCTTTGGTGTCCTTCCCAGCCTTTGTCCAGACTGTTCTGAGACAAGGCGATATGCAGGACCTGGGGGTGGCCTCTTCGGGGCACTCAGAATTTGGAACTGAATATTTTGAAATCATTCAGTTGAGTATTAAAGGAATAGACAGTAAACTAGATTTATAGTGTTCGTGCCGATTCTGTTTTTTATGAGTGAATTCATTAATTTCATGATGACAATCAAGTAAAATATATTCCTTGAATTAAGGTATAAAAGTTGCCAACTGCCGCTGTTTTTCACGGTTCCTTTCTCAAATGACAGATAGCTCGGGAGGCCCAGATCCTAGAACAGTCCCGGGGCACGTGGGTCCCGTGAACACTGGTTATCTGTTCTCTGCTCTGCTCTGCTCTCAGAGGGAAGTTGCTCACTGAGGGCTTCGGCCTGCTGTGCTTCTACCAGACGGGCCCCGCCTCTCTCAGGTCTCCTTCAGGCTGCAGGTGGGGACTTTGCCAAGGGTCCTCCAGGCATAGTTCCTTCTGCTTTCTTACTCCGCCAGGAGCTCCGCCAGGAGCGGCACAGAAATGGCCAGCCTCTTCAGTCCCCTTTGTCTCGGTCTCCATCTTCAAGAGTAGAATTAATTTTTACATAGGAACAGTACGTGCATAATCACGCTTGTTAGGTGTTTATTAAAATTTAATCATCACTCATCCTTTAAAGCTAGAATGATTTTATATACACAGTTTTATTTGATGAAAATAGCTCTGTGAAGTAATCAAGGAAAGTATTATTAACTCCATTTTTTTCATGCAGAAAGATGCTCGAAGAGGTTAATGCCTTGACCTGTAAGCAGCAGAGCAAAGCAGGACTCAAAATTAAGTTTTCTCGTGCTAAATCCAGAATGCTTTCTGACCAAGCACCATACATATATTAAGATAAAGAACAAAATTGTTTCCATGAAAGCACACCAAAGGAATAGGACATGAAGCGGGTTGATTAATGTATATCATTCCGGACTTGATGAAACAACATTAAATAATAAACATTAAATTGATCAGATCAGAGTATCAAACTCCTCTTCCCCTACAAGTTACATCCTTTAAAATAGGCCCCATTGTAGGCCTTCAGTGGATGTGCTGTTTGGAACCTGTACAGCAAGTGCCAACTCTTGAGTACTCTGTGCGTTTCCACGTGCAGTGCCCAGCGCCTTTGAGTTTTTTCCTCAAGTCTTGGAAATGTTTTTCCAGTCACGCATTTTTTTCCCTTATTATAAAAGTAAGACCTAATTATCATTTTTTAAAAAGAGAAATACTGAAAATCTAAAAAAAATTTTTAAATCATCTATAATGCACCAAAGATGAACACTGTCTTATTTTAGTATATATAATAATTAGTGTCTTATATATACCGTATACCTGTGTGTATATATGTTATAAAAAAATATGAAACATTTTCCCCAATTCTGTTTACCTTGAATGTATCTTTTTCTATCAGCTCTTCTGTTGTGAGCGCTTTTCCATTTTTATTAACTATTTTTGTAAAGATGAGTTTTAGGGCTTTATATTTGTTAGTGCAGATGTACCATTTTCTAATTTTTATTATTTTAACTTTTTTCCTGCTGGTTATTTTCGTTGTTGTTACTGAGAGGGGAAGATAGTCTTTGGTCACATTTCTTACTTCCTCACAGTGGATTCTTAGAAGTGGGATTACAACTCCAAAGACTCCTGGTGGAGTTTGCCAGATTGCTTTCCAGAAGCCGGTCTCACCACATTTGGCCATCATCACTGATTATAGTTTCTAATTTGATAGGTAAACATACTCTTCATGGTATTTTCATCTGCATGCCTTTCTCCGCTTGGTAGGTTAACACTTTTTCATATGCTCATTGACTGTTTACAGAGTTTTGCGTTCTAAGTGTGCACACCAGGTTAACCACAAATCCTTAATTCTTTGAGATCTTTGAGAAAGGAAAACCAGAGCTATATGCTTAATAAACCTTAGCTTGTAATTTTATTGCGGTAGCTGTAATCACATAATTCCAAGGAATTTTTTTTTTACATATATTTTAACCTGTGCCAGTCTTTTAAAAGGAATTATCTAATTTAGAGTTTGGATAATTGCAGACTTTTGACCGACTCAGGAATGTAGTCATAATGGCCATTAAAGTCTGGCATGAAATGCTTGATTGAGTTTTTATTTGAAGCCCCTAAATCTCTTTCAGGTATTCCAACATGGAGGTGGAGAAAGGACAGGTGTTTTTTTTTTTTTTAAAAAAATATGTCCAGGGAAGGTCCTTTACAGCAATCAGTTTTAAAGGTTTTTGAGTCACTTGAACCATGGGTACCATATTTTACATATTTGATTATTTTTAGCTTAATTGTATATAATTCTTTTTTTTTTGCTGCTGTTTTTATTTATTCTAGTTAAAACTTTGTTTTTTAATACAACTTTTAAAAGTCAAACTCCATTTACAGTTATTACAAAATATTGGCTCTATTCCCCATGTTGTACAGTATATACTTGAGCCTATCTTACACCCAGTAGTTTGTACCCCCCCTCCACCACTGGTAACCACTAGTTTGTTCTCTATATCTGTGAGTCTGTTTCTTTTTTGCTTCAGTCACTAGTTTGTTGTCTTTTTTTAGATTCCACATATAAGTGATATCATCTGGTATTTGTCTGACTTATTTCACTAAGCATAATGCCCTCCAGGTCCATCTGTGTTGCTGCAAATGGCAGAATTTCATTCTTTTTATGGCTGAGTAGTATTCCATTGTATACAGAGACCACATCTTTCTCCATTCATCTGTCAGTGGGCACTTGGGTGCTTTCAAGTCTTGGCCGTTATACGTAGTGCTGCTGTTTTTCCACATAGATGTTGTTTCAGAGATGAGAGAGAAGCTCAAAGTCTGTTTGGAAATTTCGGGACGTGCAGGGCATAAGTGAGTAAAACCATCGATTCACCACTTGGGCGCAGGATGTGGGTTCCGAAGTCAAAACCTTGAACCCTGGCAGATAAAATTCCACCACTGGAGTTGTCTTTCACCCACCCCTCTTCTCATTTCTGTCCTCATGCTGGCGCTCCGGGCCCTCCTCAGTCTCGTCTAATCTACTCCCTCCGTCCCTTTGTCAGTGGTGCCCGTGATCTTTAACCTGCAGGCCGTTCCTAGGCTTCGGATCTGTTTCCTACGAGACGTCTTCACTGGAAGTTCCCCTGGGATATCAGGTCATTGTGTCCAAAGCAAAATGGCCCTCCTCCTTCATGCCAGCCCCTTTCTGTGTGTCCTGTCTCAGGCGGCCAGCTGGGCCCTGGGGGTGTTCTGGCCTCCATCTCTCGTGACGGCTGATGAGCCGTCCTCTGCACCCGTCTCCACTCCTCTGGTTGGCTCTTCCTGCTCAGGCCCGGCCCTTCATCAGCCGACCACTGTGCTTTCGCGGGAGCCTCGCTCCCTGACGCTCTGTGCCCTAAGTCCCTTTGCTCTGCATCATCCTTCAACTCCCGTCTCAGATACAGGTGTCTCGTCCCACAGAGAGCCTCCTGTGGCATGGCCCTGCCCTGTTCTCCCAAAGCACGTACGGGCGAGGGCCTCTGCTCTTCTTGTGATGCTTCCTTCAGATGCAGGAATCACATTTGACACCTCACATTGTGACTGGTTTAATGTTGGTTTGCGTCTTTTCTCAACTAAATTCTTTTCAAATATTTCTATATGAAATGTTTTATCCCTACAGAGGATTAGCTCTTGTGTAGATGTGAATTAGAAGAAATTGCAGCTGAAGAAATGCAGTGTCGTGATCAGGACCCTCGATGCACATTTGCATCACCTCCCTCCCCTTGTAG